ATTGTGGATCCAAGCAAGACGAAATCTTAGACAACTTCAATCTATTCTCTATTTATCATGATGTTATTTATTGATCTAGTTGTGAGGATGTTTGTTTTCTTTACATTTAGGTGCAATCCATCTGAAAGCTGTAGTCTTTGATCTTCATAAATATTTTAAGTTCTCTTTGCTTCCAGAAAGCAAGGTTGTATCATCTGCATATTGCAAGTTGTTAATGAGTCTTCCTTCAATATTGATGCCATTCTTCTTCACATAATACACTTTCTTGGATTATTGGATCAGCATACAGATTTAATAAATATGGTCAAAGGATACAACCCTGGTGAGCACCTTTCCTGATTTTAATCCATTCATTATCCATTTGTCTTCTTGATGCAACTGCCTCTTAGCCTAGCTGCAGGTTCCTCATCAGCACAATTAAATGTTCTGGAATACTCATTCTTTATAATGTTATCCATAGTTTGTCATGGTACATATAGTCAAAAGCCTTTGAATAGACACTAAAGCACAAGTAAGCATCTTTCTGATATTCTTTGCTTTCAACCAAAATCCTTCTGATGTCTGGAATGATATCTCTAGTTACATATTCTCTTCTAAATCTGACTTGAATTTCTGGCAGTTTATGTTGATGTAGTCTTGAAGCCATTTCTGAATTATCTTAAGCAAAATTTTATTTACATGTGACATTAATGATAATGTTTGCTGATTTCTGCACTCTGTGGGTCACCTCTTTTGGGATTGGGCACAAATATGGTTCTCTTCCAGTTGACCAAGTAGCTCTCTTCCAAATTGTTTTACATAGACCTGTGAGCATCTCCAGTGCTGCACCATTTTTTTTTTTTTTTTTTAAGATTTAAATTTGTATTCCATCCGTTCCTGAAATCTTGTTATAAACCAACGCTGTCAGTGCTGCTTGGATTTCTTCCTTCAGTTACATTGGATCTTGATCATATGCTATCTCTTGAAATGATTGAACATTGATCATTTCTGTTTGGTATAGTGTTTCTTCCATCCTTTTTTGATGCTTTCTACATCATTCAATTTTTTAGCCATAGAATCTTTCAAAATTGCCAATCGAGGCTTAAATTTTTTCTTCAATTCTTCAGAAACAATATATGATAGTGGTGGTGGTTATGTGCTGTGGAGTTGGTTCTGACTCACAGTGACCCTGTATAGGTTTTCCAAGACTGTAAATCTTCTAAGTCTCATCTTTCTCTTATGGAAGAATTGTCAGTTTTGAACTGCTTACCTTGAAGCTAGTAGCCCAGCTATGCTATCAGTTGGATCTTTTTCTTATTCACCCAATTATTCACACTGTTTAAATTAGTATATTTGGTCCATTTACATTTGAATAATATTGATAAGTTAAGACTTATTTTGGCATTTTGTTAAAATTTTGTTTGTTTTCTGTTTCTTCTTCCTATTTCCATTGTCTTGCTTATCTTGTAGGTTTCTAGAATTTTTTAAAGAATTTCATTTTGACTTCTCTGCATTGCCTTTTAGTATATCTGTTTGTGTAACAGTTGTATCCAGTGGTTGTGCTTGAAATAAAATATAAACATACAACCATACTTATGACTTCTGTTGCCATTTTGATACTTCTCTAAAGAGTGCAAATTTTACTTGCATTTTACCTAACTGGTAAATTAAGTCTCATCACATTTTAAATAGAAATGATTTAAGTAATTTCTGTACATACACTGAGCATTGTATTTGATGATAAAATTTTATTTAACAACTTCATGAGGACAGTGACAACAGTAACAACTTCATGAGGACCACAAATCTCAATGTTACATTTATGCTTAGTTTGTATTTGTCTCGATTTAATCTATATATTGATCTCATCTCTCAATAAATCAAATAATAATATTTTTTAGATTCTGAAGGAAAATGTGGGGCTCCTCCGCCTATTGACAATGGAGACATCACTTCGTTCCCACTACATGAATATGCTCCAGGATCATTAGTTCAGTACCAATGCCAGTCCTTCTATACGCTTCAGGGTACCGACTATGTAACATGCATGAATGGACAGTGGTCAGCACCACCAAAATGCTTAAGTAAGTACTTCAATATTTGCTTTAATCCTGGAAAAATCAGAGTAATGAACATTATATAGTGCTGTTTATAATGTGTTATTTAGGAGATAGCAAAATATCGTTGTGTTGACCACCTATCCTCTACATATGAATAAAACAAAACATTTGGCTGCTGCGTAAATTCTTAACTTAGTGCAACTCCATACATTACAGAGTAGAACTGCTCCATAGCGCATTCCATTATTAATATGTGAGGATGTAAAGTTTCATGGAAGTATGTTTTTTTTATTGAAACGCTGTATATTAGCATTTATTTAATGCAAAACTTTTTAATATAATAATTCATGTTATGTTTCTCTGATAATGAGGTTAGTTATCACTCATTATGCGTTATCTGCCCTTTTTGCATTATTTGTCAATTTAAGGTCACTGGGCAGCCAAATGATTTGCAATCATCGACTAATTTGAAGGCTGGTTGTTTGAAGCCACCAATGAGTGCTATGTAAAAACAGTCCTGGTGATGTGTTTCCAGAAATATTTTAGCCAAGATCCCTATAAAGCAGTTCTATTGTATACCACAGGATTCTAATCAATGATCCAAAATTGATCTGACGGCAATAAGTTAGTTTAGTTAGGTTTCGACGGCACTTAACAACAACAACAACAACAACTATTTTAACAATAAATATGTTGCTAAGTGAGGTCAAGTTGGTTCCTACATAGAGCTACACTGTAGAGGGCTTCCAAGGAGCAATTGGTAGGCTTGAAGTGCCAGTCTTGTAGTTCACAGTCCAGTTCTTATCCTATAATGCCACACCAATATTCCTTATTTAAATATACATGCCGGTTTTTCAAAGGGACAAGAATGATTTAGATAAAGAATGCCTAAATGCATATCTAACATTCAACTTGAAGTCCTGAAGGTCTATGAAAATATATCATTTGCTCTTGTTATTTTTTAGCTTTTTATTGTGAATTGAGTGAAGGTTTATAGTGCATTCATCAGTTTTACATTCAACAAACCATGCACTTTGCTTTAATACGTGGTTAAAATCCCCTCCATGTACCAACAGTTTTTATTATTTACCTCTATTCAGTTTAACAATTGCACTTCTCCCTGTACCTCCCACTACCTTCATCTTTTCTCTGCTAATGTCCCTCTTGTTGTATGCTGCCTGCCCTGTCATCCATGTTAACTTGTGTCTACTCTCTAGCCCATGAATAATTTTCCCTTCCAGTACATCTTCCTGCAACAATCATAGATTGTTTCTTTTTTTCAAGAAAATCTTTTCCTAACCTTTTACAACATTGATCTCGTACAATGTTTGTCCTTTTGTGATTCTTCTCCAGGTTCAGATATGTTGTGAGGTGTTTCCCAGATTCATCAGTATTCCTCAACATTTTGATGTATTCCATTGTGTGTATATAATAAAGTTGATTTAGCCATTCTTCTGTTTCAGGGCATTTAGTATCTATGTTCAGGGCACTCAAGCTGGAAGTAGTGTGTGGGGACCCTTGATGGTGCTGATTTTAGTGTCTGTTAGCATCACAGAGAAGCTGGGGACAGGGTGACTGTTTAAATGCTGGTCTGGTGACTCAGTGGAGTCTGTAGGCCTGGAACCAAGCCCACCTGAATCCAGGCACCTAAATGGCACATCTAAATGGAGCAGTCGGCCTTCACCTCACACTAGCATGGCTTCCAACCACACGGCTCTGAATTCTTAGAAAGCAGGGTTTGTGCTGGAGGCAGTTGAGGGTAGGAGCTGGTCATACTTCTGGTCACCAGAGGAACATGGGGACAAAGAAAAAAAAATCTCACCTTTTCCATAACCCATGCAAATCTGCTCTGCCAGACCTCCCTCTAAGGGAAAACCTGCTGACAAGATGGTGGAGCCCCGTGTGGTCAGCCAATCACCAGTCAGTTTACCTCTCTCACTGTCTCTGTTCAGCTTTTCCTTTCAGCAAGCATTCCATCCACCTCTCTGACCTTTCTTCTGTTGTTTACGATGGCAGAATTTTTATCTATTCATGTTTTGTCTTGTCTCTTTTATCTTTGTTGTAGAGACTTCATGTAGTACATCTGCCCTGTCTGCTATCTTTTAAATTTTTGTTGTTGTATATACTGATAATTTATGTTTATCTACTTTCAGATGCATGTGTAATATCAAAAGAAGAGATGGATATACGTAACTTAGAATTAAGATGGAAATATGATGAAAAAGTATATTCCAAAACAGGAGATACTGTTGAATTTAGATGTAAATGGCGATATTATCCTGTGACATCCCAAGACTCTTTTCGAGCAGTGTGTCATGAAGGAAAGTTGGAATATCCCCGTTGTCACTAATGCCACGGTCAAAATGAATTTATTTAATCAAAGAACATACATTACCTAAATTTTGTATCATTAACCTAATTTTCCAAATTTTATTTTTGTAAGTGTTAAATCATTTTTATTCACAAATTAGATTTTGAATGAAATATTAAGTGAATGATGTAATTATAATCTGAGAGATCAATATCTGACCTAGTATATACTATATTAAAATGTGTCAACGCCAAAGCTATATGTCTTGTTCCTAAAGCATCATTAGAAAGAAATCAGAGGAATTCACTTCAATGTCTGCTTTGGACCATCACTTTCATTACACTCTCAAAGTTTTCAGCATAGCATTTGACACACACTGGGATTCTTAAAGATCTGATGGTCTCCATCTTCAGAGTAATATTACATGACAAACATTAAAACCCATACTAAGTCTGGCCTACACTAGTAATAAAATATAAGCAGTTATTTATCAGTCCCTGATATTAGCTTATCTATCTCTAGATGAATATGCTCAAAAGGATTAAATTATGATCTATAAGTTATTTATACACTTAATAATTCAAATAAATTGTAGGAAGATATTAAAATAGAGTTGAGAATATAACAATCATAATATTGACCCCAAAAAAGTCATAAAAATCCAGGAGACAGGGCTTGATTGTGTACTAGACAGAAAAGCAGTGCAGAACCCCATCAGTAAATCACAAAAACCAAATGAAACAGATTCATAGGACAGTCCTGGAACTCTGAACTTCAGATAAAGGGATGATAAGTAGATCGAGTGCTTACCAGGAATAAGATTTAAAGTAGAAGCAAGAAAGGATGTGGCTTCTGATTTGGGGTGGCCAACATGTCTCCCACAACCATTTTGAATGGGAGTGAGCTGTTAGACATTTAATAGTGCACTCCCATTGCAGAAAACTGACAGATCTGCAGAGATAAAGGTATGAGAATACCTTTTCTTATTATTCCTTTTTCATGCTTTTCTTTTTCTCTGTCTACTCATCTCTGCTCTGGGGACCAGACCTAAGGAAGATTTGGCTACACATTGGAAAGATCTGCAAAGTGCAGATCACGGGACGCAGAATTGAAGAAGGAAAAGGAGTCAACAGGATGAGCTTGCAACAGGAGTTTCTTGCAAAGTGGGTCAGGTCAAACCTGGGCTGGATTTCAATAGGAGAAGAAGCTGAGTGGACTTCAGGAGAGGAGACAAAAATAAAAAAAAAGAAGTGAAAAACAAAACCATGAGACACAGCGGGAACATCTTGAAATTTCTCAGCTAGCATTGAAGGCAAGAGACCATTTGTTGTTGTTGTTAAGTGCTGTTGAGTTGGTTCCCACCCATAGTGAGCCTTTAATGGTTTCCAAGAAGCAGCTGGTGAGCTTGAACTACCGACCTTGCAGTTAAATTAGTCTTGCTCATATTTTCCAATCTTTCCATGGTTTGGTGATTTTGGACTTACATGTTTAGTCTGGCTTATTGAGTCCTTCTATCTTGGGAGGACCTCTTTCTTCTCTTACCATAACTAACAAGAGATGGTAATTGTGGCCATATAGCCAAGCTACAATCACATGCTATAAAATCCCACCATCTGGGCAAGAACCAATATAAGCTGTAATACATCAAAGAAGTGTCTAAAATCCACACCTGTTAAGACCACTCTGAATTGAGCAATAAGAGCAGTGAAAAGAGAAGCCCATTTCCTGATCACACCTATCAGGAGGCAATTGGAGGGAGCTTAGGAATA